CGCACTGGTGCGCACAACCATGGCGCATTCATTTGTCACGGTGCTGATATAAAAAAGGACGGTTTTCCATCTGTGCTATGTCACTACCACATGGAAGATATAGCACACCAGCACCACTTAGTCAAATTGCGCTCGTCAACGTCATACGAGTTTTTATGTCTTTTCCAACCGGATACAAACCCAGGGAACCGCGCTGCTGTCAGTCTTTCCAGATCAGTTGGCGATCTGGCGGGCCGCTGGAATCCATTGCTCACAGCCTGCCTCCGCCACGAAGAAGAAGCTCTGTGCCCTTCGGTCGGCAGTCGCCCAACAAAAAACCACCAGTGTGATTAATGATCGCGCGGGCCTGAAGATCATCACTCGGCAAATAAGTAGTTCGGCGGTAAAACTGGCGGTAATTCTGGTGATTGGTGGCCGCCCCAGTCAGGCGGCGTGTTTTTCCAAGAGGGCCGCGGGGGGCCGCGGCCCTTGTAGGGGACATTCCTTTTGTGTTTTTGCAGAACCCCGCTGACTGCGTTGGCTGGGTAAACTTCATGGGGTGCTCTGACTATTTGAAAACCCGCCCAGCATGCACAACTGGGTAATGGAATGCGTAAATGGATCGTCCACGGCGGCTCAAATGCGTAAACGAACGCATTCCATTCCAGCTGTCCGAAATGCAGGAGAAGCGCATCACGATCGTTTGGCAGTAGCGTACTGTCAGAATGCCGATTAGGATAATTACCTCAGATCTTTAAAAACGGGCAGCAGTTAGTTTAGTCAATAAACTTTTGTGACAGCTTTATGTCAACACGTATTTGAAACGCTTTCAAAAACAGGAAGTTTTCCAGGGTCTCTGGTTTTCCTCAGCAGGTATTTCGAAGAAATATTCTGAATCTGTTAGCGCATCATAATAGAATAGTGGATGCTTATGTGGGAACATATTATCCCAACTGCCTGCAAAATTCAAAGCTTCTGCGTGTCAGATCATTCACCTACGCTTTTATTCTCAAAACGGTGCACGACAAAAAACGTGGAACCTTGAGTAAAATAAAGAAACCCATCGTCTGCACACAGATGTTCTTGTATTGTAGTTATGCAAATGTGAAATGGCTGTGTATAAACAAATCAGTGTTCAAGAACTTGCAATAGGCTCGAGGCTAATTTCACGTCCGAACTCCTGTATTTGATGTCAAATTAGTCCACAAACGCGCTGCATTGATTAACTAAAATGATAAGCTTACTCGCTAATATTCATCCTTGTCAATGTGTGTATCAACGTCCACAACATCACGATTGTTATACAAGTATAACAATAGTGATGTTATGGGCAGGTCATGTCTTAGAAATGATCCTAAAACTCGCGGACATTTTATAGAGCGCCAGTAGCATCGTGTACGCGATTGCTTACATTCAGCGTCATGCTTACGTTCAGCGTCAAGTCATCAACAAGTGGTTGTTGAAAGGTCATTAATAACCCATGAGACCTTACGTATCCCCGATAGCGAATGGGGCAAAGGTTTTGACCTGAATCAGCTTTGCTTTGTGGTCATATAAAGGCTTAGAAGAAGCGGCAAAGCGTGACTTGAGCCTGTTTGCGTGAGCTGACAAGTCAATGGCAAAATTTAGCTGTCGTGTTTTCATGCATCATGTAACGACCACCGCCTGAATTTTACACCGGGACAATTTTGCAGTCTCTAAGGATCTCGAAAACCACAAGGCCGAGTTTGGGTTCAGTGACACAAAATGACTGTCTGGGGATCGGCTGTTATTTTGTTAGCCGATGTGTTTGGGAGTGTTGAATACCGCACTCCAGTGGAGATGTGTGGAGTAAGATGATAACTTTTACTGCACCTGCAGTTAGTTTTGTGACCTTAACAGATTTGACCCCAAATCGCCTCTGGGTTAAATGCCTAGCAAGTCGTCCCATTTCCTCTCGATTAAGTTGTCATTGTTTTGCCGTGCGCTCACTCCTTAGGTTTACGCCGTAACTAATCTGTTTGGCTTCAACACGGAGGCCAATGGGGTACGGGGAAAAATGGATGTTTATGTTATAATTTCGCATCCCCACATGCTCAGTTCTGTCATAAATCATTGTATATCGAGTGACTCCTATATGCGCAACCCCCGATTTTGTAATTTCTTAGTACTCACGCTCTGATCACTGTTGTTGGCATCATACTGTTACACACTTCCGATGCATGCTAATCACTGTTACTAGCATCATGCACACTGTACATATCGAAATTAACGCAGATGTATTTAGTTCACGGAGCGCAAATACACCCACCTAACTGCATGTATGGCAGCACTATGTTTGCATCCTAAATGCGATTCGGTTTATCACATGTGACAGTGTCAGTCGTGTTGGCTATAGACATACCACAGCGTCAGTCGTGGGTTATAGCACATGAGACAGTAACGGTCGTGTGGGTTATAGCACATGCCACAGCGTCGGTCGTGTCGGCTATAACACATGTCACAGCGTCGGTCGTGTGGATCATGGCGATGTCAGCTGAATCAAACAGCAACAGCCGCATTTTGATGCCTCTTTGCGTATGACAATTTAAAACATTGTTTATTTGCCGTGGTAACAAGTTGGCACATCTATGTCGCTACAGGGCTATGTTGTATAAAGATGTACTGAAAAGTGGCTTCATTGTACAATGTTACAAGCTGAATATTGTACCCTATCAAGCCTAATATTACTGCTTTGTCGTGGGTATAATCATGACTTTGACTTTACAATCTCTTTTGACTAATAGAATATATGTATCGGTATGATATGCGTGCTTCGTGGTTTTGTAAGGTTATTGTGAACAGCAAAATGAATTTGATAATTTCCGAGGCAATGAGCGGCATGGCCTGCGATTCCTATACATCGCCCCTGATTTCCAGCTTCAAGATTCCGATTTTCTGCACAGTTCTTTCACCACCACCCAAAAATCAGGCTGCCCCTTGACTGAAAGGTTTGAGGCTTATAGCAAGTTATTTTTTTGTGAGGATTCCTGTCGTCCCCTTTTCCCTATTCTTACTAAAATTTCAGGTCGGGCAGAAAATGAGACCACAGGCGCTGAGCAACGATAATTCGAGTCCCGCGCATGTAAAATCACAGTGTATTAGAACAAAATCTGCACGGTAAGCGTTGCCACCTTCTGAGCTCCGGCTGAAATGTCGGCCATTACCTGGTGTTGCATGAACACGGAGACGTCAAGATAGCGGTGGGAAAGATCCGGTTCATTCCTTGCCTACAAGCGGCGTCGGAGCGTGCAGCTATTCTGCTTGAAATGCAGCACCATCCAGGACAAGAAATTGTGTTTTCCTGTATAATCTCAGCCTGTGCCACGAGCTGACTCATCTTACAGCGTTACATAAAGGGCACGCAGCCCCCCCTCCCATTGGTACCGACGGGGAAGCGGACGGAGACTAGCTGGCGGCAGTTAGCTATAAGGCTTGGGCCTAGCGAATAATGCTGTACTTGGTAACATACTCAGAAAATTGCGCCATTCGAAGTTGTCCATTCAATACCGTCTTTTCGCCAGCAGCATTATCTTCATATTTCATTTTCTCGGAGTGTTGGCATTCCATGGGGGTGTGCTTGGCGGTTACGCGGAAGGAGTACTTTCATTATGCGAGTCCAAAATTGATGCCAAGCATAGCGCTTAAAGGTGGCCATATAGCTGTTTGGTACAACCTGTTGGTTTAAGATGAAAACCTGCTCTTTTAAGTGAGAATTTACTGTTCCGTGTACGGAAGTCATTGAGGTTACAGCAGTAGTGTTGCGGGCTGCGGCGGGCAGCTTTCTGGCTATGTTTCTGTTTCCATTGCAGTCTGCGTGGGCGATCGCGGGGCCGGATCATATCAATATGAGAACATCGTCGTCACTTGAAGACTGACTGGGGTGTTACCAAGATGAACCAAAACCCAGTCCAGTATCATCTGGGTCGACACACTGTAAGTCTCAGAGCCCAACGAACTTCGGTATAACACCGAAGGGAACATCACTACCCAGAGGAGTCAGAGTTTTGTTACCGAAATGCAGGATCTCGACAATGAGTTGCCGTAACATCTTGGTGAAAATGATGGGATAAAGATAGTTCTAGAGGCTATACGCAGTAATTTTGACACTTCAACGTGTGGCTCGAACTGATTTTTGATGACGTTAATGTGTTCGCCGAACTGACCTGCGAGGAGAAAATGCCTAGCATGCGCGCTTTTTGTGTCGGTAAAATTGGATCAATGCTTTTCAGAAAAATAACAGATTTTGGCGGGCTGCGGAATAAAAATGTGAACATGGCGATGATTGGACGGTCGTTTCTCCTACCGTGGCCTTTGTGGGTTAAGGTAACTCTTACCAGATTTTCTACCTCCTCCCTGACAAATCCCAGCTCGTCATTTACCCCTTCGCCTCAACCGTTCGTGAAACCTAGTTATCCAATACACAAACACTTCATACTGAGTCACAAATAAACACCGGTATACAACCGGCGCCTCGTTCATCAATCATCCAACCGTGTTGCCCGCGGCGGTCGGCGGCGCGCCAGGGCCGAGTGTGGCGCAGCTGTCACCAAATCGGTGCCTCTGTGACAGACGCGTCGTCGGAGAGACCGCGCCCGCGCGCGTCGCGGGACGGTCGCCGTCGCACACACCCCTCCCGCCATCATCCAGTCTGCAATCGCCTGCAAAGCCCCCCAAACGCCGAACGCCCGCAGCCACGTCCAATGGGCGGTGCCTCACCCGTGGAAGTCATCCCGCCGGCCAATGGGCGGTGCCTGAGCGGTGACGTCATCCGGCCGGCCAATGGTCGACGTCGGCGGCGGCGGCGGCGGTGCGGCCGCCGCGGCCGCCGCCACGGTCGGGAGTGATGCATTACGCATGATAGGGGAGAGAACGCCGTGTGGGTGGCGCGCGCCACTGGCATCGGGCGCCTACGGACTGGGGAGGTGCGTTCGGGCGCCGACGTCCAGTTGAGTGTGGGCCGAGACGATGCTGAATCGCCCGGGTACGTGCTGCTTGACGAGATGAAGTACATCCCGCACCCGCAGCCGAGTCCGATGTCGCCAATCCGTGGATGGCTGCCGGCGCAGGCCGAGTCCGTGCACTGGACGCTGCACCCGCACGTCAGCGTGCACAGAGGACGTGAAGCACCCGGCCGAGCTGACGCACGTCAGCCGTGTGCCGCAGCACGTGCCGCCGCCGTCGTGGCACCCGTCCGTGTCGCCCTCCTATCTCAGCCCGCCCGCCCAACGGCGCGCGCCCTCCGCAGCACCCGGCCTACAGCATATGCACAGCATGATGCCGCACCAGCTGCACCCGGGGCACCTGAGCCGCGAACCGCACGTAGCTGATGATGCCGCAGAGCGAGCCCAGCCAGGAGCCGGAGGAGGAGGCGCCCTCTGACGGACGACCTGGCCGTGTTCGCCAAGCAGTTCAAGCAGCGCCGGATTCAAGCTGGGCTTCACGCAGGCCGACGTGGGCCTGGCGCTCGGCACGCTCTACGGCAACGTCTTCAGCCAGACGACCATCTGCCGCTTTGAGGCGCTGCAGCTCAGCTTCAAGAACATGTGCAAGCTGAAGCCGCTGCTGCAGAAGTGGTTGGAAGAGGCCGACTCTACCACGGGCCTGACGGCATCCGTCGATCGGATGGCCGCGCAGGGCCGAAAGCGGAAGAAGCGCACCAGCATCGAAGTGTCGGTCAAGTCGCTGCTGGAGCAGCACTTCATGAAACAGCCGAAGCCGGCGTCGCCCGAGATCAGCAGCCTGGCCGGCTCACTGCAGCTGGAGAAAGGAGGTGGTGCGCGTCTGGTTCTGCAACCGCCGCCAGAAGGAGAAGCGCCATGACACCGCTGGGCCCGTGCACGGGCTACGATAAGGGGAGACGGTGGCTCGCCTCAGTCGTATGTCTCGCAGTCGGAGCTGCAGCAGATGCAGGCGTCGCTTGGGCCGCCGCAGCCGCTGCCGCAGCAGCAGCGCGCGTCGCCCACCAACACCAGCAGCAGCAGCAGCAGCAGCACCTGGAGCAGCAGCACCTGGAGCAGCAGCACCTAGAGCAGCAACACCTAGAGCAGCACCAGCAGCAGCAACACCTGGAGCAGCATCACCAGCAGCAAGCAGCAGCAGCAGCTGGAGCCACTGCCGCCGCTCGGGCCGCAGCTGTACCGGTCGCCGCGGCCGCTGGAGCCGCTGGCCGGCAGTTCCGCCCAGTCCGCAGCCCCGACCCTGCTGTCCCCCGCAGCAGCCGGGGACGCTGCCGCCGCACTCGCAGGGCCTGGCCGCGCACTGACGGCCGCCCGCTGCTGACACGGGGCCGCGCTGCTGGTCCGTGGACGCGGCTGGTGCAGCTGCGCTGGTTCATGGACGTGCCTGGTGCAGCTGACCTGCTCCGCGGGTGTGTCTGGTGCGTCTGTTCTGGTCCGCGGATGCGTCTGGTGCAGCTGTGTTGGTCCGCGGACGCGCCTGGTGCAGCTGGCTGGACCGCGGACGCGCCTGGTGCAGCTGCGCTGGTCCGCGAACGCGCCTGGTGCAGCTGTGCTGGTCCGCGGATGCGCTTGGTGCAGCTGCGCTGGTCCGGAGACGCTCCTGGTGCAGCTGTGCTGGTCGCGGGCACGCACTGGTGCAGCTGTGCTTGGTCCACAGACGCCCTAGTGCAGCTGCACTAGTCCGCGGACGCGCCTGGTGCAGCTGCGCTGGTCTGCGGACGCGCCTGGTGCAGCTGTGCTGGTCCGCGGACGTGCCTGCTGCAGCTGTGCTGGTCCGTGGTCGCATCCTGGTGCAGCTGTGCTGGTCCGCGGATACGCCTGGTGCAGCTGTGTCGGTCGGGACCGTCTCTGGTGCTGCTCTGCCAGCCGTGGACTCGCAAGCCACGGCTTGTGCTGGCGCGGCAGGCCTCGCTGGGCCGGAGCCGGGCGCCTCGCAGCGCCGCCGGCCAGCGGACGCAGCGCCGCCAGCACGGCTTGGCCGGGGCGGAGGCGACGGCCACGCGCACCGCCGCGCCCGGTAAGCAGCAGGCGCGTGCGTCGCCCGCCCTCCCACACCGCTCGTCGCGCTCGTCCGCGCCGGCGGCTCGAGCGCCTGCGCTCGTCCGCAGCGGTGGCTCGGGCCGGCCGCTGGCAGTCGGCGGCGGCGGCTCCGGCGCCGCCGCCTGTTCATGGCAGCGGCCCGGGCTGTAAACGGCCGATCGCACCGCGCTCAAGGCCACGCCATAAAAAGGTTATGACCTCAGCGGCCGAGACTGGGCCGTCTGATCTGGCGGTCGGTCGAGGGCCTCGGACGCGAGGTTGGCCGCCGTGCCGCCTGCTCTGTGATACGCCGGGGCCTTTCAGCGGACACTTGCAATACTAGATGTAGCGGGGGTCGTGCTGGCCTCGAGCGCCGCGCGTCGCCTGAGGTGACGTTGTACCCGCGCGATGGGCGGCAACTCGCCGACCTTTGCCCTGGTCGGGTACTGATCATCTGCGCTTGACGGCTGCGACGCGACGTGTCGCGAACTTTTTCGTTTTCGCTGATGGTCACATTTTATTTTGGAGCCGACCATGCAGACGATGTAAGAAGTTTTCAATGTCTGTTTTTCTGTTTCTTCACGAATGCAGCTGCTTTCGTTTGAAAAGATTCGTTTTTGTTGTTCGTCCTCTTTCGTGCTAAATGGTCATGCACGGAACAGAATCCTGCCTTGGCCCAAAACTGACGGCTTTTAAAAACGTATTTGGCACAATCTTCCATCGCTCGTTAATCCTGACACAGGCTGGCCGGCCAGAAGGGAATATCATATTTTTTAGTTTGTTTAACATGTCCTTGGTCATTTAGTTCAGAAAATTTTGCCGGACATGATACAGTATGGCAATTCAAAGTCATTCAAAAAGCTGATCACTCATTAAATAAAAAGCATTTGAACCAGGCTAGAATACTTTATCTTGCTGTTTTTTGGGCTAGCATTCCAGTGAGACAAAACTCACGTTTGGTTAACATATAATCTAAACTGCCTCTTTCAAGTTGACAATGCTCAATATTGATATAGTACAAGTGTTACATATTTTATATACACTTCATTCCATTAAAACGGAAGGCATAACGTGATAAATGGGTGCATTTGTAATGTGTTAACCAATCAAAACGCTAGTTAGTGTTCGTGTTTCATTAACTTTTCGTTGTTAGTCATGATGCAAAGGACGGATGCGATGAAGAGAATATGGCTGGAGTCATACCACTTCTGAAATGCCTTGTCTGTGTTATTTGCCATGGAATGTGTGGTCATTTGGGCCTGTGTCGTTTATGTCATGTGTTTGGGTGCTCCAACACCAAATGAATGTGTAAAATACATGCATTTTTGACAACTCCATTGCGATCTAGGAGAGTTGGCGCATTTGATATACCAACAGTGTAGCTGGAAGGCCAGCCAGCTGTTGGCAGCTAGTGTTAGTCGGCTATTAAGAGGGATTTGCAATGTCGACTACCATGGATGTTTTCCAACAGAGCTTGCCAGTTGAAATCATTCTATATCCGCGTTTGAAAAATGATGTAGTTTATGAAGGGTTACCTTCGTCTTGTGTGGTTGCTGATATTAGTGAAACTTGGAAGCAAGCGGACGAATATTCGATGGAGGGCTAAGCTGCTCCCTCCGTACAGCTTATTCGCCTTTTTCCGGCGCTGTCTGCACATTTGGTGTGAAGCGGTTATTTTGCACACTGTCCTGAATTTTGATCCACAACGGTCAAAAGCTAGGTCGGACTTAACGTTTCCATTAGCCGAGCAGCTTTTCAGACTGGAAGACCGTTTGGCCAGACAGGGTTTTATTTCACCACCTCGGCTTGCTACCTTGCTGTATTTCCCTGTCATCCTCTCAGACAGTGTCATGGCTGCATGGTTCGTCATATATTTCGTCATAACAGTAATAGATAAGATTAACTGAATGCCCTTCAGCTAAATCATATTACAGCAAAAGTATAGAACAAGCTGAAAGTCATGCACACAAATGTGAGACGATAACGAAAAACACTCACAAGGTAGACTACGACAAACATCGAGATCATTTCAATATTTCCAACGGCCGGCTTACCTCATGGGCTCGTACGCACTTACACTATAAGGGAATGTAATGTACACCGCGTGGCTACTTCCACTACGCCCCCACCAAGGCTCCTCTATGTCGAGCTTCCACTCGCTGACAAGTACTTCGTCCATACATATCTTCTGCGACACGGGCCAAAACAAAAACGAAATGTAAAAGCGGTTGCAGTGCAAAGTTTGCAAAGACAAATCTCGTTGACTTTCAAGTATTGGTGAGACTATGAGGGCGAGACCATTTGGAACTTTGACATGATGTGCAACGATATTGCCTCGTACACAGTGCACTGCCATTTTGCCAGGCTGTTCAGACCGTTGTTGTGAGCAATGTGTCTTTTTTCCGAGGAAACTGGACCTTCTGCTATTCGTTTTTGTCGTCAACAACAATGGGTGGTCGGATGGTCCATGTCCGAACTCGAGTAAAGATTGCTAACTTCTCATTTGAAGAATAAGTTGAAATGTCCACGATACGCCATACTTGAAAGAATGGAGAGCGTCCACTCTAGGTCACGCAGCCGAAAGTATGTCTAATTGTGAGGTCAGCATATTGGTTTGACTTTGTACATGAAGGCGCAGTAAATCACTGGGTAAACAGACGACCACTTAACTCACTCGCCAAAACCCCCGACGCAGCAGAGAAACGCGACAACGAAGTGTTGTGAATACGAATGGAACCTGTGCGTTCATCCATTTCATGTAACGTCATGTACGTCATTGTATTTCTCCGAAATGTTTGAACAGTCTGAGCATTTTAAAAGAAGTAGCGTGTATTTCTCCGTGTTGGTCACTCAGGGGCTCTCGAGGAGTGCGTTCGCAGGAAGTTTAGCCACATGCCATCGATTACGCTTGCAATTATTCCCGTTTTTTATTTGATATTACAGGAGGTTCTTACCTGAATATACCGTCCAGAAATTGTACAAGAATTCAAACCCATGAAAGCTAATCAAGCACGAACTCAAAGTCAGGAAACGGCGTTCCAGGACCAAATACGCCATGTCGCCCAGTCCCAAACGTTGCGCCTCTAGTGAAGTGTGGCAATTTACCTCTGCATATGACGGCCCGTGTCTCCGTTATGAGTAACGAAATGCGACCATCAGTGCTCGTCTGAGATAAGCACATATTTTCATAACGGGAGAACTGACAGTACGTGGACATTTTAAGCGAGATAATTTGCTGGATTCCCTTCACAACCCCACGCAAAAATAATACTGCGGGCTTTACCGAACAGTTACGGTTTGAACTATCATGCAGCACTTACATATACACTCGGACCAACAGCTTGCATCACGCAACACACAGCGACGACTGACATGACTTCACAGAAAGTTGTCACCTGACCAAACAGCAATGAAAGCTTGACGCTACAGAACGCTGTCACTTGAACGAACAGTAACTATGGTTTTACGTTACAGGGCGCTGTCACTTGACACGAGTAGCGACCCTGGCCTTACGTTACGAGACGCTGCCAAGTACGCCTTCCAGTTCATCACTAGTCATCATGTTCACCATGTGGTGCCAAACCAAGCGACGTTGTTGAATCCGCTGCAACAAAGCGTTTTTTGTTGTTTAAATATAAAAGAATGCATGCCTTGCCTTGGGCCTCTCATTGAAAAATTCACGATTTTGAGGTGCAGTTGTCATCACCCAGACCGATTCGATAATCGGTGGAGCTTGAGGACAGATTAGGTAGGAGGGGGCAGAAACGTCAGGCGCGCGGCTGCCCCGCTATTCCGCAGTCACCGACCCAAGCTTTCAAGCAATAGGCCACGAGTCTGACGGCTTGTGCAGAGCATGGGAAGGAACGGAGTCTGT